CTACGAAAAGAAAGTTATTAATAAGTTATCTATACTTTATTAAGAACATTGAATAGTTAATAAATTTTTTTGTAGAGGTTAACAGCCTGTTAATTAAGATCAGTAATTATAATTAGAAAAATATAAATAAAGAGACTCTCCTGTATTAAGCTCTGAATGATAATATTTATTAATAAATAATAAGTATTAAATAAAAGACTGATTTTAAAGGCTTCTACTAACAGGTTAAATAAGTAGTAAATAAACTGATAAAGATTCACCAACTCTTAAAATAATCTGGATATTTTAATATCTGGATAAATAACTTTATTAAGAAAGTAAGTTTAAATAATATTATAACTTATAAATTAACTGTAGCCAGTACTAAATCTGTTTAATAAGTTTAATAAGTATTAAAAAAGATTCTGAATTAAAAGACTAAGGACTGTATCTTTATTATAAAACCTTAGATTATTATATTATTAGATATCTTTATCTGTTCCTGTAATATTTTCTAAATAAAGAAATGTAAAAAATAAGATCTTCCAGACCTTATTTAAGAAGGATTTTATAAAAAAAACTAGTTAAAAGGCTTTGGTAACCCTGCAGACCTTTTTTTAAAAAAAATATAGTTTTCTTAAATTTTTATTTAAAAAGGTATTTACTAGTAAATTATAGTTATAAAAAATTTGAAAATGAAGTACAGAGGTTTAAAGTCTATTATATCTTTTTTATATTAAGATTAGTTAATAGAATTTATTTTAGAAATACTCTAATTAATATTAACTATATATTATATAAGATAATTAGCCAGAACTTTATAACTAAATATAAACTGGAGTGTATACTGATTGAACTATAAAGTATTAAAGAATTTAAAGAAAAAAAGATTTGTATAAATAAAGTATCAAGATATAGTATTCCAAGCTAAAAGCTTAACTCTTTATATTTAGAATATAAAGATTAAAGTCTAGTATAGATGGAAGTAGAACCGGATCTTAATTTTTTATAAGATCCTTATTAATATATAATATATATAGAAGAACTGGAAGAAGAAAGAAAACACTATAGAACTATATATAATAAATTTAGTAAATATTAACAAGACTCTTTATAAGCTTAATTAATCAAAAAATCTAGTAAAGATTAAGCATAAACTATCTGAGCCTTACTACAAATATTTAGATATTTTTAATAAGGCTGTAGTAGATACTCTACTACCCTATCATCTAGATATTAATTATATTATTAAATTAATTAAAGATATAGAGAATAAGGAATAAAAGATCTTCTAAAGATTTCTATACTAAATAAATTAATTAAAGTTTTTAATATTATAAAAAACCCCAATTAATTTGCTAAAAAAGAGATTTATATATATTAATAATTTTTTAATAGTTACTTTTATACTGTTTATCTTAAAATCTAATAAAAATCTATATTTCTGCATAGATTACCGGGTCTTTAACTAAATAATTATAAAAAATTATTATTCTCTACTTTTAATTTAGAAAATTCTGTAATGCATCTTCAAGACTTACTATCTTATTAAATTAAATATAATTCAAGCCTTTTACTGTATATGAATTGAGAAAGATCATAAATAGAAGACCACTTTTTATATTTATTTTACACTGTTTAAATAACTGGTAATCCTATTTAATTTTACTAACTATTTAAATACTTTTTAATAATATATTAACTGGATCTTACAGGAATTTCTCAATAAATTTTATTTTATATATATAAATAATATTCTCATCTTTACAAATAGCGGGTTAGCCTAATACTAGACTTAAATATAATAAGTTTTAGAGCGTCTGCGTAGTACAGATCTTTAAGTAAATATTAATAAATATAAATTTAAGATTATCTTTATTAAGTATTTAAAATTTATTATTAAAGTAGAAACCAAGATTTATATAATTCTTATTAAAGTTTAAGTTATAAAGAACTGGAAAGTCTCAAAGACTGCTTATAATATCTGAGTTTTTCTAAAATTCATTAATTTTTATTAATAATTTTTAAAGACTGGAAGGCTTACTTAGAGCTTCTAATCTAATCTATATAAAAATATTAAGTTTAGCTAAACTTCAAAGGTGTAAACAGTTTTTAAGATTTTTAAAAAGATTTTTATCACGGTTCTAATTCTAGTAAATTAAGATTCTGAATAGAAAATACTGTTAGAGATAAACTTGTCTAGATAATATATAAAAAAGTTCTATTTTAATAATATAATTAAAGAATTTTCTGGCCTGTAATCTACTTTTTAAAAACAAATTTACTAGTAAAATATAATTATAAGATTTATAATAAGAAATTACTAATTATTATCTAAGTTTTATAAAATGAGAAATTAAAGCTGATTACTTTTCTTTATTTTAAGATCTTTAGTAATTACCGGAATCTAGAATACTTTATAATTTAATAGTGATTTTCTGAATAGTAAATATACTAAATCTAGTTTCTAAGCTGCTTTAACTTTATAATTAATTATTATTTAAGAATAATAAATATTAAACTAAATATTCTGTCCCGGAGAGTCCAGAATATATTGAAAATATATATTATAAACTATAAAATATAGTTATCCTATCTAGTATTAAGGGAGGGACTTATCTATATAATATTTATTAAAAGTAATTTTAGTAAGGAGCCCGGAGGATTAATTTTAAATAAGATATAAATACAAACTAAAAAGATTAATAAAGATTTAAAAAAGTATTAGAAGATTGTGATTAAAAGCTGGTCTAAATTTCTTTAGTTAAAATTAAAGATCTTTATTATAGAGTATTAACTGAATCTTAATAAATATCTATTTTTCTAAAAATAAGCTAAAATTTCCAATTCAAAGTCTTTATAAATTTAAATTATTTAAAACATTTATAACAGCGTGATTACTGACTATCCTGAATAAGATTAAATATATAAAATTATTATTTATTACTATTACTAATTAAATATAAGTAAGAATATTTCTTATTTTTACTGAAACTATAACAGCTGTAAAGTTAATAATATTTAATAAAATTATAAAAAGGATTTACTTAAATTATTATTAATTCTAAACTAATCTTAATAAGATATCATAATCAATTTTTTAATAAATGTTTCTAAATTTTAAAACTATCAAAATGTTATGGTTATTACTGATTAACCAATAAAAAGAATTATTATTAAGACTATATCTAGTACAAATATAAAAGACTTTATAAATATCTTTATTAAAGTTTTTTATAATTATTATAAAATATTATAATCTATAGTCTCTGATCTGGGCTTATAATTTATAAATAAGTTTTAAGTTACACTGTATAAGATTCTAAAGATTAAAAAATAATTTTTTATAATTTATTATTTAAAATAGACAATACTACGGAGCGCTGTATTATAGTTATTAAAATATTTTCATAATATTTTATTAACCAGTAACAGATTAATTATTAAGAATTATTATTTATAACTTAACTAGTTCTTAATAATCAGAAATCTATATTTATAAGGGTTAATTCTTTTTTTACAGTATAGTTTTTATATAAAATCTTTAGATTTCATAATTAAGATTAATATCTTAAAGAATTATCAAGCTAAAAGCCCCTGAGAGTAGATTAAAGCTATTCTTAATAAGTTTTAAAGAGTCTGTAATATTACTAGTTTAATAATAATAGTTATTCAAGACATATAGAAATAATATGTTAATTAGTAATAAAATCTAGAACTCTGCTATAAAGTTAATAACAAGATCTGATTAACTTTAAAGAATATCACTATTAATTGTTTTAATAAGAAGTTAGACTAATATAATATAAAATTCACAGTATTCAAGCAGATCAGGATGCACACTTATAAATTTAATATATTAACTGAAATTTATCTTGTATTCTATATTAATTTATTTTAGCCTGCTGTCATGAATTTCTTATTAATATAAGAGATTATTAACTGGTAACCTGATATTATAGTTATTAAAGATAAGACTGTAAAATAAAAAATTAAAAAGATTTTAGATAAGAAAAATATGTTTTAAAAGAAGTATAATTATAAAAAAATATTCTTAATTAGATAGAAAGATTATATTATACTTATCTGGGAACCAGCTACAAAACTCTATAAAATAAAAAACTTTAACATTTAGTATAAATTTCCTTGTCATTTTCTATTAATATTTATATTAGCCTTATTATATCAGGATCAGATAGAAGATGATTGAAAAGAATTAGACTTTATTAGTTATCTGAAACTAAAATATCTTATATTTTAATCTGTCTAACTCTACAACTCTAAATTAATAGTATTTAAAGAAGTATAGAAATTATCTAATAAAAAAAGAAATCTGAGGAGCTTTCTGAAGTTATAAAGAAATTAGTTAAAAGATATAGAGACTTCTTAATATTATATAAAAAATCTTCAAGAGAGATTAGCTATAAGAAAAACTATTTAATCTATAGTTAGATAGCTCTTCAGAGAATTCAACTTCTACTTACCTTCACATACCTTGAGTAGTTCTTGGGCTCTTGAGCCCGTCACATTCTATCTTACCATCCCGCCAGCCCGCACCTTGACATTGCTAATCTAATATTTAATTAATTAGAAATTAATTCGCAGTACAGTTCTGACTAGAATCCCAGTATCCTAACCTTTATTTACTAAAATAAAAGCCCTCCAGCTTCAACATCATCAAAATAAGCATTAAATTCAGCTAGACAAGACAGGAAGAAGAAGTCAATCAGTAAGAATCAGTTAATAAGAATCAGTCAGCAAAATAGCTAGCCAGATATTCTGCCGGGCTCGCGGCCTCAGAAAGACCTAATTCATCTAAAAATATAATAAGAATTAAAAACAGATATCAATTTTATTTCTTCTTTAAAACAGGAGGCTATTCCCAAAAGGGCCATATATAGAGTCCGTCTAGATTACATAGAGTCCAAATAGCATTTGCCTATAATTCTACTAGGCTTTAGGCAAAAATCTATGGGATGCATGCCAGGCCTTCAATCCTGCAACCAAATACTTACGTACTACTAAAGTGTATGTGTGTATCATTGTTACAAGTTACAGGTTCCGGGGTCTGGCGCTCCTTGCGGTAGGAGTCCGGAAAAATCCCTACGTTTTGACCTGTTTCGCTTGCCCTTTCGATCTTTTCCGTCATATAGTCTCCTTCAACTTTCAAGCTTTGTTGACCCCATTTCCTTCCACCGGGCCTATCATTTCTCTTTCCTTTCCACTGTCTTTACAGTAATCATGTTGATAGGCTTATGCGGAGGTTAGCATCTTGTTCAAGCAGCACATAGCTCCCCTGCCTCGGCATAGGCTAACGATGTGCTGCGAAGCCATCTGTTCTGGGAAGCATTCCGTCGCAAATTATCTCATTCAGGAGGAGGGATTCCGACTTCTTAAATTGAAAGATGCGGACTCTCCTCAAGTAACAGACGAACCCGACGGCGACCGTCAACAGCAGGCGCTCGAGTCTGCAGGGAATGAGAGTAGTCCATCGTCGCAACTGGTATTTGATGATTCTAAATCCCTCTTAGACTTTGTAACCAAAAGATGGCAAGGCCTTTGGGTCACGACAGACATTCGGGACATCACCATCTTAGACCGTTTCCTTCAGCGCCCATTCTTCCTTCTGGTGAGCGTTGACGCGCCGATGAGCCTGAGATGGAAGCGACATGTGGACAGGCCTGAACCCCTCGTTTACCTTACGATGCCATTGTAGCTAAACTAACATTCCACCGCAGGTGCCACAAGAGACTTCTTGAATCTCCGTCTCTGGAGGAATTTGTGCTATGGAACGACAAAAATCTTTACGAGAAAGGCGTCGGACGCGCATATTTCACTGATGGGGCACAAGTTCGGTTGTTCAACTCGTCTTCCTCGTTGAAAGAACTGCATGCAGCTCTCAAGTCGCTCCGTCTTGCTGACGAACAGCGGTTACGTCCCAACTGGGATCAGTATTTCATGGAGCTAGCATCCCTAGCCTCTCAGCGGAGTAACTGCATGAAGCGAAGGGTTGGGTGTGTGCTTGTCCGCGACCGCCGTGTCATTAGTACAGGGTATAATGGAACGCCAAGGCACATCAAAAATTGCAATGAAGGTGGCTGTATGAAGCTTTCAAGCACCAGTTGCAGCAGTATTGATTTAATGCCTGGAAACTCACTTTGAACAGGTCCAAGGTGCAACCGCGGTGAGGGTGGAGGCTTGGGTTTATCAACTTGCCTATGCCTTCATGCTGAGGAGAATGCGCTGTTAGAAGCTGGAAGAGAGCGCATACGCGAAGGTGCAATACTCTATTGCGATACGTAAGTCTTTTCTTATACCTAGAAATGCTTATGATAAATTGCTAAATTGCCTTAGGTGCCCTTGTTTAACATGTACCGTCAAAATTGCACAAGTGGGTATATCTGAAGTCGTATATTCACAAGGATATAATATGGACAATGATGTATGTCCTCAACATTTCACGTCACGTTATTCAGCTGACCATCAAAGAGCGCTGCAATTTTGAATTCTGCCGGCGTAAAACTCAGGCAATTCTCTCCGGTACGGTCCCATCTCCATCGTTTCTACCAATTTGGTGCTAATTCGGTGTTGGCAGCCTCGAAATGGGCTTGTTTACCTCGAAAATTCCGAGAATCCCAAGTAGATTGCTGGCACAAGATACTTGTCTCACTTGGATCATTCGAACCAGGTTTAAGCACTCTCAGAAGTCAACGATGTGGATTCGTCATGGGAGCACAGAGGAAAGGTCTAAATTGATAATTAGAAAGCCCTTTTCAGGACTGCTATCATGTGCTAGAACCAACGGCGAACACAATTATCCAGCTACCTTTTTACCTCTCCGTCACTTATCAGGTCAAATCTGGACGGCTCTACTGTCATCCATCATAGTGCTACTCTGTACTATGAACTATATGCAAGTCGTGATGGTGAAATTGTTTGATGCCAAGTTTCTAAATAAGTTACACACGAAGTGGCAAGCCGCCAATCAATCACCTTCATTACTACGTGTTATTGTAATGCACTCTTCTAGGGGAAAAAGTCAAGACAAGACCATAAGGCCATCATTACCCGCAGATACTTCTGCGGACCCCTAGAGTCCCCTATATACTCAGGTACACCCTGGGAGGAGGTGGGCAACGACCCTTGTAAGGACTTCCTTACAGTTATAGCAGCTGCTAGGTATCTCGCTAGCAGGATTCAAATTACGTTGACTATTAGTTTTTAAAGAACCCGGATGGATAATTGGGTCTAACTAAAAGGGTGAGGGATTGAGTTGACTGAGTGAGTATTTTATAATGAATAGTGCGCGTGTGTTTCGTACTGCAGCAGTAAAAGAGACATGATACCTAGCAGAAAAGAGTGAAATTAGAAGTGTGGTAATTACACTGCAAGTCTTTAAAGTCATGGTAAAACCACCATTGAATTTAACCCTTATAAAACTGTCCTAAACATGTTAAGTTCTTTATTTTCTGGTGAAAACATGTTTTACTAAATAAGATCTACCAAATGTTTCAATCGTGTGTTCGGTTCATGATGCCATGTATACTGTGTACTAAAAGGTCCTCAATGATTTGCTTTCCTTGCGGATCATTGCCAACCACTAACAGCGATATAAAAGCTACTACTAAACACCCGTAGTCTGGCTGGCAGCGCTTCTGTTAGGCCACATGTCTAACACCAAACATGATTACTAAATAGTCATTTTAGTCTAGATATACATGTATTTAGTGATTAAACATTATTTTTAGTATAAGATGGACTTTCTGTACAGATTAACTTCTATAGAATTGATAGAAGTATATTTAAGTATGAACTCAATTCATAATTAAACATGTCAAAAATTTAAACATGTCTGAAAATTGGGTATAATCCCTTAAGATCTTCTCCTTGTTACAGACCCCTGCTAGCCAGGTTACTAGCGGAGCGGACTGGTTAGGCAGAAAAGTGACGACAAGGCAGGGCTCGGACAACCAGCAGCTCTTATCGAGTAGAATCCCGGTCTGAGTAACGTCCGGAGCAGCGCTGTATCACGTGACCATCTACCATCAGATCTATCATCGAGGATATACGGAAGGTATATTGGAATCCAGGAACGTGATTGGATCGACCCTTGATCTACCCTCAATGATATATGATATGGTATATAAAGAATAGAATATAAGGATACTCTTTTATATACTTAGCTAGTTCTGTTTTTTGTACTCAATAATACTGTCTTTAAGTAACCATATGTTTTGGAAAGCTTAATAACAACATTCATCTATACTTACAGATAGCTGCACGGCACTATCTGGCCTTACTTCTCTTTTCTTATTCAGGACCAGTCACCCTTAGATAGTCATCAGTCTGACTTACCTTGATTCAGTTCGAAGATACATATTGGAATGAAAGCTAAGCTAACAGAAACAGAAAGAAGCAATCCTAGGATTTGATATATTAAGCACCAGTCAGTATGAGTATTATCCAGTAATAACTATTCACTATATTAACTATATTGAACTCATCGCGCGCCCTACAGCAGCAGGGCTTAATAATATAAGAACTGATGGATATAGTTAATCAGTTATAAGAAAGTATCACTATCTTAGAATAATAAAACCAGTTACTCAAGGATTGCTTAGCAATCAAATTTATTAAGGTCTGATTACTGAAGCCATTTAACAGTAATCAAGCAAAGCTCAGGGCTTTCTTAATCTAGTTAGACTTATATCTCAGCATGAATAGAGAAAAGCTTAAAAATAAGGTTAATAAGATCCTTTTCATATCTATTTATTTAATTAAAGTAATATTTAATTAGTTTGAGCCGTATATCCGCGAGTATTAAGAAAAGTTAGTAAATAACTAGAATAATAATATAAAGCAAATCTTTGCTAGTTATACCAGATTTAAGCAGTATCTTAAATAAATATTTAAAGATATTAATACAGTATAAAATACTGAGTAAAAGTTATAATAACTTAAGCAGATTAAATCAGTATTTAAATATACTTCAGAGTTTTTATAAATTATTAATTACTTAGATTAGAATAATAATACCTATATTACATGATTTGAAGAAGGACTTAAGATAAAGATCCAAAAGAAACTTATCTAGTAAGAACAACTGAATATATTGCTAAAGATAATTAAAGCAGTAGTCAATATCAATAATAAATTATCTAAATATAATATAAAATAATAAGAGAATTAATAAATTAGTAGGTCTATACCTTGATAAAATAGCTAATCAAGTTACCGAGCCAATAACGGAAGATTAGTATAATCTAGAAGCTTGGGATATGAAGATTTCTACAGACTAAAACTAATAAAGCTGGATATAGCACAGCATCAGGCTTAATAGAATAAAATATTTAAGAAGGAACTTAAACAGCGCAAACAAGACTGTTTATACTTTAGCTGCGGCAAAGCAGATCATCAGTTAAAAAACTGTAGTCAGAAATAGTCTCAGAAGTAGTTGAAGGCTATAAACCAAGATTAAGGCAGAGAAGCCTATGATATTACTGCTATTCAGTATAAAGTTTGGATAGAATCTATAACATGGATATTAGATAATAAGAAATTACATGTTATTTAGCACGGACAACTATTAGAGAATAGGATATACTGTAATTAATTAAGATAACAGATCATTACAGATAAGCTAACAGTACTATTAAGTTAATAAGAAGACTAATAATTATTTATATTATTAGCTTAGACTACAGAAATTGATAATAGTAATAAGCCAGTTCCAAAAAACGACTATCCCAGTATAGTCTGAGATAAATTTAATCTGTTAGATAAAGAGTACAGTACTTAGTTTAAAGATCTTGGATTCAGTAAGAAGAGACTTAGCAAGATATCTGATATTCTGAAAAAATCTTTATCAGAAATAAGTAAAATCTGTTTAATATAATAAGACAAGGATAAAAAGAATTAGAAAAATAATCAGAAAAATATTACTTATTAATTAGATTATATTTTAAAAAAGATCTCGGAGAATCCAGCATAATTCTGCCTAGAGCTTAAGAAGATTATACAGTATTATCCATATTAGGATTTAAGATGTTGAGAATCATAGAATAAGACTTGAAAATAATATTTATAAAGATATCTTTATTATCTAAAAGTTTATTTAATATATAGATAAAATAATATAGATTATTATTAGTTATTAAAGATTAGCCAGAAGATATATGTTACAGGAACAGAATCTTGATATAATAAACCATATCTGTATATATTTTTTAAAAAAAGTAAGAATTATTAAAAATATGATAAACTTTTTTAACTTATATATTATATAAATACATGCTTAATATACCATAATTAAAAATATATTACTAATTACTGACCTAAGATACTGGAAGTAGTTAGGACTAGAGTAAGTTACTATCTATGATTAATCTTTAGTTACGCATGTAAAGAGTACCAGAAATATTTTCTTATAGATTAATATATTGACTAACATGTTTTAATAATCAGTATATAATATATTATACAATAAAGATAGAAGGCTTAAGATTTCTAAGAAGATATCTAAAACAGTTAGAACCTAATTAGCCAGAACAGTAATTAGCAGTCACTGAATCAGGACCATATTTAAAGATCTAAACAGTTATATTAGATTAACTAGCTTAAGTACTGGTAGACTCTGGAGCAATTAGAAACTTTATAAACCTGTGATTTATATAGTAGCTTAGGATACTCAGATAATAGAAAGCAGAACCTGAACTGATTATAGAACTGAATAAAGAGAATTTAGAAACTTTTATATTAACAGTTAAGTCAAGAACTATATTTATAATTATAAAAAATTACTATAAATATTTTAACTTTAATATGATATCTTTAAAATAATATAATATTATAATAGAGATTCCATGATTCAGAAATCATAATCTATAGATAGATTAAAAGACTGAGAGTCTCTAATTCATGAATTATGATTATCTAAGATAATATTAGCAAGGACTAAATATGGGATCTAGATCTATACAGTCTATTATTCAGTAAGAAGCTGAAGTAAGGACTAAGTAATCTATAGAGAGGTTAAGAATACTATAAAAGCTTAACATGCTAGATATTGAAAATAACTTAGAAAAAAATAATATCTTAAGTATAGTTATATAGGTAATAGTAGTAATCAAGCTATTATAGTAAGATTAGCTTATAAAATTATCAGGATAAGTATTAATAATAATAAAAAAGTATTAAAAGTACAGTATTAATAATATTAACACAGAGATCAAGATATTAGAACAGGGACTAAAAGATTCATAGAAACTTCTAGCTGCAGTTAAAAGTAATATATAAATTCCACTATAATATAAGAGATTTAAGAATCTGTTTAAATAGCTAGAATAATCTGAATTATCTCAGCATGGAAAGCATGACCATACTATTCTTATTAAGAAAGAAAAGTTATTAGTATATAGAAAGATTTATTTAATATCTAAGAAAGAATTACAGGCACTACAGGAATACATTAATAATTAATTAATAAAAGATAATATCAGATCTTTGAAGTCACCAGCAGGATATAGAGTCCTATTTATACTAAAAAAGGATAATAGTTTACAGCTATATATGGATTATTAACTATTAAATATTATTATAATCAAGAATTAATACCTGTTATTTTTAATTTCAGAAATATAAGATAAAATACAAGAAATAAAGTAATTTACGAAGCTTAATATTATAAATATATATTACCGTATATATATTACAGAAGATAAAGAATAAAAGACTATATTTAAAATAAAGTATAAATATTTTAAGTACTTGATTATATTATTTAGGCTTATTAATATACTAGTATTATTTTAGTAATATATTAATAAGATTCTGAGAAAATATCTTGACAGATTCATGATCACTTATCTAGATAATATATTAATCTTCTTGAAGACTGAGAAAGAGTATATTAAATATATAAGATTAATTCTATAAAAATTATACTTATATTAATTATAATATAAGCTGAAGAAGTATAAATTCTATATATAGAAAACAGAGTTCTTAAGATACTGGATATCTATAAAAAGAGTCTATACTGAGTAAGCTAAAGTATAAGCCATATGGGATTAGCCTCAATCCAAGAATCTAAAAAAACTATAGTAGTTTATCAGACT